CACGAGGAGGGGGGAGCGGAAGACTTAAAAGGGGAGATATACCATGCAAGCGCCAATTCAGGAGGGAGCAGGGGTGCGCGGGAGGAGGAGGGGGGGAAACCTCGCAAGTCTGAAAACCGTATGTCGCTTGTGCGCATCCGGCGTACGGGGTGCAACTCTGCTGCCAACCCTCCCCCCGCCCCCCGCTCCTCCTCCTCCTCCTCGTTCCCTCCCGTATTGCCCGGCCCTCACCCACATACCCATACACCCCCCACCCTCCTCTCCACCCGCTCCCCCCACTTCCCCTGCCCCCCCTACCCCACCTTCCTCCCCCAATACTTCCCCCTCAAAAAAGCCCCCACCCCACCCACCCCCCCGCCCCCACCCCACCCCGCTACCTGTAAAAGGAGTCCGGCATGTTGGATGCGGGCAGTGGGTCTCGGGTGTTGGAAGGCCGCTGCATGTTGATGTACACGTCCCCCGGCAGGATGTAGTCACCCACACTGGCGATACCGTCGCGGTCCAACAGCCTAGGGGGGGGGGAAAAGGGGGGGAAAGACGAACCACAAACGAGTGAAGCGAGGGGGGAAGGGGGGAAGGGGGGAAGGGGGGAAGGGGGGAAGGGGGGAAGGGGGGAAGGGGGGAAGGGGGGGAGAGGGGGAGAGGGGGGGGAGAGGGGGGAGAGGGGGAGAGGGGGGGGAGAGGGGGGGAGAGGGGGGGAGAGGGGGGGAGAGGGGGGAAGGTGGGGAAGGGGAGGAGAAGGGGGAAAAGACGAACCACGAGCAAGTGAAGCTGCTGCCAAGGAAAGCGTGCGAGATGGGGAAAAGGGGGGAAAGGTACTGAGGTAATGCGGTGTGCGAGGTAATGGTGCTGTACGACACCCCCAGCCCACTCAAATCCCCGTCTACATCCTACCTGAATCGTGACTGGACGCTCTTCTGGCCCGGAGCCGGCAGCGGAGCCACGATGCGGTCGTGTGAGCGGTTGGCGTACCTGTTTTGTTGCGGCCGTAAGCGTGAAGCGCGGTGCGGGGGGAGCGTGAGCAGGAAGAGGCGGCGGAGGCGGACGAGCAGCAGTACACACACACACACACACTTCAGCGTGTTTGTTTAACCCATTCAGATGAGCAGATGTGACATGGTTGAGTGTGTGTATTTTCTTGGTGGTGATGTTGGTGTTTGTGGTGGTGTGCCATAGACCCGGCCGCCTGAGGGGAAAGCACTGCACTGCACTGCACACATCATCCATGAACTAAAAGACAGACAGACGGACAGGGGGTTCTAGGCCACCATTTATTCAAGACATTAAACTTACTTGCGCAAACTGCAGCCGTACTTCTTCAGTACGATGCAGCGCCCGAAACCACGATCCAGCGAGTACTTGTTCATGACGATGGCATCCTCAATGTCGTACCTGTGTACGGACGAATATACGGATTCGGAGGTGCAACAGTCGGCGCCTAAACTGCTCTCGCTCTCGACTGCCCTCGGGGTGTGTGTGACATTGACACATTCCTGACCCTCCATGTGCCCCTCCGCAAGCACAACTACAAGTTACATCGCCACCTCAATGTACGGCAACATGCCAGGTCACCATCCCGTACACTTCCCCCTCGTGCAGTTGGCGCTCTAACCCCTTCGCCCCACTAACTCCTCCTCCCCATATTCCCGCCCCGAAACCCCCCATACCCCACACGCCTCCTCCTCCTCCTCCAGCGCACCCGCTATAGCTCATCACAGCCACGGAGGCGTTCTGTCCCGCCCCCAGCTTGTCGAAGCCCACCAGCTCGATGGTGCGGGTGGTGAGCAGCGGCCGTTGCGGGTACACCAGCAGGTACAGCAGCGTGTCCATGCGGCTCAGCTGGTTGTAGGCGATGTTGCCCATGGCCTGCTTGCCCATGGCGCACTGGAGGGTGCGGGAGAGGGGGGGGGAAGAGGGAGGAAAACGGGGGGAAGAGGGAGGGGGAAGAGGGAGGGGGGAAGAGGGAGGGGGGAAGAGGGAGGGGGGAAGAGAGGAAAAGGGATTCCAACACGGGGGAAGAACACGGATTGCTTGTACGGAGCATACACGCACATGGGGGCCATACACTCATACACATCACACGCGCGCACGGGGGCATACACATACACATACACACATACATACATACACACATACATACAGACAGACATACATACATACAGACAGACAGACAGACAGACAGACATGTACCTGGTATGTGTTTCTTGGCGACTGGTTATGATGGGGGAAGGGGATGAGGCCACTGACGACGCCCATAATGGTGAAGGGCTCGATCTCCAAGTGGGTGGTCATCCTGCGGCATGTGTGCGTATGTATGTATGTTTGTACGTATGTGTCTAGGGGGGGGGGGGAGAAAAAGCAAACCAACTAAAAGCCTACAAGCGTCTCATTATGTCCTCTACATCCTAAAACTAGCCCAAACTGGAGAGTCATGTGGAGTACGGCTAGAGGTCTCCGTCGTACTTGTTGCAGTCCTTCTCGTACAACGCGATGAGCGACACGTTCTCTTCATTCACATCAAGGTACTCCACCAGCCCCCGACGGAGGAAGTCCGGGAACGTCCACTCGCCTGTGGGATTTGGGTTTTGTTGGGGGGGAATTCGGGGGGAGAGACGGAGAAAAGGGGGGGGGGCGGAAGAGAGTAATCGAATGCACGTGAAACTCCAAAATAAACCCTCCGTGCCCCCCCCCCGTGTCTAAAGTCCGAAATTGCTGAAGTTCTCAGCGATGAAGTCATCGACCCGGTGTGTGTGTGTGTGTATGTGTGTGTGTGTGGGGATTATATGCCAAGCCAAGTCAAGAAGGGAAAACAATTGGCAGCGTCCAAAGTTGCGAAGGGGTTGGAGGGGTTGGAGGCGGCTTGGGGTTTAGAGCGAGGGGTTTTGGGGGGGTAAACATGTCCGTGTCCCACAAGCCACGCAACGACTAAGGGAGATGTGGGAAGGGGGAAAGGGGGAAATCATTTGATGCAGGAGGAACTCAGAAATGAACTGCCAGAAGGCGTCCAAAGTCCATTAGGTTACGTAAAATGGGGGGAAGGAAAGGACGAACCACGAACGAGTGACGCTGCTGCCAAGGAAAGAATGGTCGGGGGGGGAAGACAGAAAGGAAACGGGGGGAAAGAGAAAGGGGGAAAAACCGGGAAAACGACTGGAAATGAGAAACACAGGTGGCAAAACAACTGCGCAAAAACACAAGCTTGGCGCCCCCCCCTTCGCCCCCCCCTTCGCCCCCCCCACATCCCATCCCCCAAATCCAGTTCATTAAACCAACCAGTACGCTGCTCTCTCGCTGTTCCCCTGCCCCCTTACCACGAAAACCCCGGAAGCACCCCAGGGGCAAGCACCCGCCTAACCCCTCCTCATCTCCCGCATCTCCCGCATCCCCCACAAATTCCCCTTCCTACCGCTTCGCAGCTTGGTGATGTGTTCCTGTCGTACACGGGGTACCCCCGCGTCGCAGATGATCAGCGGCCGGCACACCCGGCCCCCGTCCGCGGACACATAACAGGCATCCTGCTGCAGGTGCACGTGTACGAACTCGCCCAGGTGACCCGCGCGACGGAGCTCCCTGGAGTGTGGGGGCGGGTTTGGTGTGGCGGGTTTGGTGTGGCGGGTTTGGTGTGGCGGGTTTGGTGTGGCGGGTTTGGTGTGGCGGGTTTGGTGTGGACGTGGGTATGGTTGGGGCGTTTTAGGAGTTAACCCGGGGGAAGTGAGGGGCGTGGAACCGCCACCTCCCACCCCGTAAAGTCGCCCCCTGCCCACCCGCCTCCTCCTATCAGCCCCAACCCCGCCCCATCCCCGCCCCGCCCCAGCCCATCCCATCCCAGCCCCGCCCCGCCCAGCTAATCTCTCCCGCACCTCCTTCCCCCGCCTCCAGCCCTGCCTCAAGAGCCCCCACCTGACTTCCTTCACCAGCCTGTGCGGGCGGCGGTGCACCCCCACCAGGTTGCCGTTGAGGAATACCAGCGCCCCACCCTGACCGTGCATCTCGGCCGGGGCGAGGGAGGTGATGGGCTCGGTGCCCAGCATCACCAGCAGCCGGCAGATGGAAACCTCCTCCTCGTCTGTGGAGGTGCGGGCAGGAGGGCCGAGGAGGAGGAGGAGGAGGACAGAGGAGCGGGGGGAAGAACCCGGGTAAGGGGGGGGAAAAGGAGACGAACCACGAGCGAGTGTTTTTTTTCGGGTTAAGCTGATGCCAAGGAAAGACTGCTGCGGCAGGCGGTAGAGGGGGGGGGAGAGGAAAGAGGATGAACACTGCGGGTAACGGACTAACACGCACCAGCAATCTTAGGCCCCATGCAATTAGGCTGCCTTTCAAATGTGTGCCTAACCATATACACGTAACATGCCTTACAACACTTTCCCTACCCCCTCTACCCCCTCCACACCACACCACACCACACCACGACACGACACACACCACACCACACCACACCACACCACAGGTACCGACACGGCCTGCTCTCCTCCACCAACTCACACACCCCACCCCCTAAGCCCTAATACCCATGCGTTCCCGTACTACAATCGTACATCCTTGTGCATTCCCGTACACGCGCGTACACCCCGTACCCGTTGTGACATGTGTCATGAGCGCCAGGTTTTTCACCAGTCCGCAGCTCTCCCCCTCCGGCGTGTCAGCGGGACACAGCATACCCCACTGGCTGGGGTGCAGCGCACGGGGGCCGCTGACCTGGCAAGAGGAAGAGGGAGGAAGGGGAAAGGGGGGAAGGGAGGGAGGAAGAGAGGGGGGAAAGATGGGTGGTGGGGAGGCGGGGGAGGAGGGGGGCCCCCAGGGGGGGAAATTGTGAGAAGCACAAGCAGGGGAAGAAGGGGGCAAATCATGAACAGAAAGCCGGAGAAAGAGGGCGGCTCCCGCCGTCCCTCTCGATTGAAAGACAGACACAGACAAACAAACAGACAATGGGATAGACAAAAAACACATGGAAATGGGCGATGGTAATGCAATAAACATAGCGAGACAGAAAAGCATGCATGCAGATAGCCTGAGATGCGTAAAATGGCTCATGGCTGGCAATTTCCTTTCAGAAAAAGAGACATGCGAGGAGGCAAAATGAGTTATGATTGCATTTTCACAAGTCTTCTTTGCGACCAGGGAAGCTTAATGTAGGAAAAACGCAAAAAAAGTGAGAAGACCGACAAACGGACGGACAGACAGACAGACAGACATGAGCCCCTTAGCTAGTCCTGGCTGATGGCTGGCGGCGACCGTTTCCTTCCCGTCGTCTTTTTCCTTCTCCCCCGTCCCCCGTCCCCCGCCCCGTCCTCCTCCCCCTCCCCCCCTCCTCACCTTTCTCGTCTTCTCGAACTGACTTGTCATGCGGGTCATCATGCCCATGGCGGCGATGAAGGACAGCCGGCTGAGGACCTGAGGAAGGTCGGGGAGTTGGGTTGCGTGTATGTGTGCGTGTATGTATGTGTGCGTGTATGTATGTATGTATGTATGTATGTATGTATGTATGTATGTATGTATGTATGTATGTATGTATGTATGTATGTATGTATGTATGTATGTATGTATGTATGTATGTATGTATGTATGTATGTATGTATGTATGTATGTATTGTATGTGTGTATATATGTATGTATGTATATGTGCATGCGTGAGATGGGGGAGGGGGCGAAGATGGGGCTTAGGGCTGGTTGGCGCTGCGGGTCTTATGGTGGCAACAGTGTAGCAATCCGCTAATACGCCTCAGGTAAGAGACGGCTGTTACAAACAGTGAGTGCTTCCCTACCAAAACATCATGGCTGAGCATTGCGCTGTAGAGGACAGGAATAAAACATAGAGATGAAAAAAGTGGTTGGTAGTTGTGGACCGGTGGTTGGTAGTTGTTGGATGACAGACCGATGACAGGGTTGGAATCATGGAAACGTGTGACACATAGGAAAACTGGGAGCATGTTGGTTGGTTGGTTGGTTGGGCGGTAAGGGAGAGTTATAATGGCGTGGAATACATTCCACGCGGAAAAAATCAAAATTCGAAAATTCAAAAATTAAATTTCAGCCCACCTGCGTAACGCCTTTTCGCTCCATCCGAAACCGCTTGATAATCCAGTTGCCGGACGACAACGCCGATTCCAGGCCGTACGTTATGGTGTCCGTGCGAATTGCCTTGGCCACATCAAACTGTACGGCAGTACGATGCAGTAGTACGATCATCACCATGCATCGTACAGTTGGATAAGGGCGGTACCCGTGTCGAGCAACCAACCAGCTCTCGACAAACCAGCAAGCGGTAGTTCGCCAAGACCACCAAAAACACACTGCCGTTGCATTCCGACGCCCCTTAGAGCCGTAACCTAGCCATGCACGCCGCTACGACCTCTCCACAACCATGCATCCTGTCTACAACCCTCGCACTGCCCTGCCTCCCCTTCCTTCCCACGTCCATATCACCTTCATTCGCATGTTTATTTTTTCATGTCAAGCCATAATCGTTCCCCAGCACCCGCTTCATAGCTGGGTCCTTTGCCCCTTTGCTTCTTAAACCGCCGACTCTAAATCAATCAACAATACAAGAAGAGGAGGACAATACAAGAAGAAAGACATACAAGGAAAAAGGAAAAAAAGGAAACAATGAAGAAAAAGAAGAACAAAAAATAAGATCAAGAAAGATCCCCCATCAAAAGATTCCTCAAAAAAAACACAACCCATAACCCCATTCCCCCCCTGCCTCACCTGCGTTGCCCGGTTGGCCTTGGACAGCACCGAATCCGCCTGGCGCTTGATGTCGCTGTTCAGCCGCTTGAAGAGATCCTCGAACAATAGCGACATCAGCGCGCCTGATGAAGCAGGAGATAAGAACAACAACAACAACAACCCACAACATAGCGATATACATATCGGGTTTTAGGGTTTTAGGGTTTAGGGTTTTAGGGATATTTAGGGATATATATACACAGATATGTCGAAGCGTGGCAAAGTAACCCTGAAAAAATATTCCAGATTCGAGATTTCAACAAAGCCGGGATAGGACACCCTCTCGACTGTAAGAAAAGGTTGATGCGGCTCAGTGCCGATGGACGGCGATGGACGGCTGTAGCAGACCACTGAGGACGCAACGAGCTACAAGCCACCGACCAATGGAATGGAAGTGGTGCCCGCCGGTGATCCGACGGATTCATCTGGAGGATGATGGTGGTCGGTTTGCTGAACCACAATATCCCGAAATGATATGACCGATTTCACAAAGGTGGCCATGGGTAAAAAGCGGGCGAGGGCGCCCCGAAACACACACAGGGATTGCGACTAGACTATTGGCGACTATTGGCGACTAGTGGCGACTAGTGGATAGTGATCAAGGGTGGTGAAGCTACAATCCCCCTACTTTACACAGTCATACATGCGAGAACGGAAACGCCATGCTACGCACCGGCTAGCTCAAGACGCTTATTGCCGTAGTAATCCCGGTCGTCGATGCATGCCGGATCCAGTACGGCGTACAGCATACGGCGCATCATAACCGCCACGTAGGCAATCTTGTGGGCGAACTGATACCTGTAAAAAAAAGGGTTTTGTTACACCTATTTTTAATAATAAAATGCGATGCGAGGTACCGCCAGCACACACTTTCCTTCTCGCAGCTCAGTCACAAACACGAACACACACTCTTTTTAACAGTGGCATTGAAGCATAAAGCTATGCAACTAAGGCACGAACACACACCCTTTTAACAGCAGCATTGAAGCATAAAGCTATGCAACTAAGGGATATTGCGAAGATTAGAATAGGGGTTTGAGTGTGGCCCAACTCTAGACGCGCTCGTCCGCCAAGTCCACTTGCCGCCAACGGCCAATGGGAAGGAAAATGGGAGCGCGAAAAAACAAATATTTGCATGTCATGCAAAAGCAGTTGTCGGAATGAGGAAACCAGCTGTCATCAGCCCACTACTTGTGTAGTATATCCTGGGTATCACGGGATCTGACATCCGCGCCGATCGGTTCTTTTTTTCTGAAAAAGACGTAAGTGATACAACACTACTTTACCTGGGCACGGGAACGTGGCATAGTACCACGTTGGCGAGCACGTCCCGCGCCTCGTCCACCTTGCTCTTGCGCCGCTTCTCCGCGCCGGGCACCGTGGGGCCGAACTTGGGGCTGACCTTGAGCTTGCTACCTGGACAGACAAAGGGAAAAGAGGAGACGAAAGAAAAAGGAGAAAACGGGGGCAATTAAGGGAAACAACATCAAATATGGAATTTTTGCGCTAAAAGTAAAATTTCTTTTTGGAAAGGGTTAAGGAGACTCGACGGAGGGTGAGAGGTGAAGATCACTAAGGGAGCCTGGTCCGGAGCTGCCGTCTATGGACTCGTAATAAGCATATGCGAATCACCAGATCCAGATCCAGAATATATTATTTTAAACTCGGGGCTAAGCAGACCGGGCGCCAGCCCTGCACCGTCCCCTCGCGCCCCTGCACCACATGCATGCCTGTGTGTGTGTGTGTGTGTGTGTGTGTGTGTGTGTGTGTGTGTGTGTGTGTGTGTGTGCGAGCACACGCACACGCACACGCAAGCGCGTACCTAGGTAATCTAGCGCCTGCATCTGAGTAAAGACGCCCAAGCTCTTGGCGTCCTGTAGTAGTGCAACGGGCGGGATTGGAGAGGAGCGTGTGTGGGCGGAAGCGGGGAGGATTTGGGGGGAGAGCGTGCGTGTGTGTGTGTGTGCGGGGGGGGAGCCCGGGATCACACGTCGGGCGGCAGGAGTATGGCGACACCCCGCATGTATGTATGTATGTGTGGGGAAGTTATACAGCCCAAAAAGGAAACAGCCAATATGCTTCAGGACATGAGGAGCAGGAATGCTTCAGCCCATGGTCACCCGGCTTACACGATCTCCATCTCCTCACAGGCGATCATTACTAGCGTCCTTATGTTCTCCCTTTTTTCTAATACTTGGATGTTACGTCTTTTGCGTCGTGTGTAGTATGTCCCTAACCTAACTTGTAGCTTCTAGGCTCTCGGGAACCTCTATCTGGCTCATATGGGCACTCGCTACACCCCTCTATCTGGGTAACGCAGCCGGGGTGCACGTGGGGTTAACACACATACATACATACACACATATCATGGGGGGCCACAGTCGAGTCCACGACTGCCGTATACCTGTGGGATGAAAACCTACGGGATCAATGTCAATGTCGCGTCGGGGGCTTGCGAGGGGGCTTGCGAGGGGCCCGCAGGGTAGTGAGCCGGAGGGAAAGACGAACCACGAACGAGTGAAGCTGCTGCCAGCGGGGGTGGGGGGAAAGATTCCCCCAGGTGGTGTAACACGGACCACGGGCGCGTGCGGCGGGGCCCGCGGGGGGGTTGCGTGCCACCCAGAAAAGAGAAAACAGTGAGTCCTGGGCAACTAGGGCAAATCGCCAAGGCAGCACTTCCTTGGCTTATTGCCTGTACGTCAATTCTCCTCCCCTTCCTCCGACACACATACATACATACACACACACGCACCTGCACACTAGGAACCAGGAGAGCCGCCAGCGCAGCCGCGCCCTCCCCACTGGACGGGTCAGACACCAACCCGCCGTCGCGGCCGCTCGCCGCCCTCACGCCGAAGCCGCCGCCCACCACCGCCTGCACCACCTCTTGATCTGACTCGCAGCCCATCGCCTTCAGCACCACCATGATGTTCACATCGTCCCTGACGGGATTCGAACCCGGACAACAGAACATGAGAAAAAACGGCCACAGCGCGGAAACAACGACAGCACAAAATACTGGAAATTCGTGGCCTGGAGCCAGCAACACGCGCACACACGCACAGGTAATACTATACACTACAGAAAGCCCAGTTCTGTCAACAAAAGGGGACCACAAATCTGCATACATACATACATATACGGCCGGACTGCCTATCGACTCGACAACAGAGCTACGCACGCACGGCCAGCTGGCCCGTTGGCACTATACTCTTCACAAGTCTGAAGCCCGATGTAACAAAACAACGACGCACAAGCACGTACACACGCACGTTATTTAAAGTACGGTCTTGCACTGTACTTGCCGTACACAATATTTCAAATATCAAACTCACTGGAAGGCGTTGTGTTTGAGGTAGATCTTGCCCTTAGAGAACACGATGTTGGTCTTGGATTTTCGCTCGTGGGTGGATGAGGTGACCGAGGCGATGACCTCTCCGTGGCTGTCCGTGTCGACGATGATGCGGTTCTTACTCAGCTGCTCCTGAATCAGGATGACCTGGAGGCGAGGGGGGGAAAGACGAACCACACACGAGTGAAGCAGGCGAGGGGGGAGGTATGGGTTTTGAGGTATGGGTTTTGAGGTATGGGGGAGTGGGTGCGGACGTGTGTGGAGTTGGATTTTCAGATGTGCGGATGCGGGGAGAGGGATGGGATGAGAGAAAGAGGAGGAGCGATTGCGATGTGGGCGATGGAGATGCGGGCGGTGGGCATGGCCGTGTGAGCGCGTGTGTTGTGATGCAAATGTATCAAGGATGTGGGGATGCGGTTCCCAGCGCCCCTGCTCCGGGACCATGGCAACCGCGATTCCAGATAGCATCCCCACAGGCTTCTTTAAATATCAGAGGATGCACACTACTCTATAACGAGCGTGCAGCGAAGCTAAGCACAAGCAGTGTCAAATCAAAATCAAACAGCAACAGCAACAGCAGCAGCTCCCGAGCCGCCCTTTTTCCGCCAGGTTCTCTCCCACGCTTTCAGCCCTTCCACGTGCCGTACAGTGCCGTACAGTGCCGTACCTTCTCCGTGCCACGTACGATGAAGTAACCACCTGGGTCCAGGGGGCACTCGCCGAGCTGCGCCAGTTGCGCCTCATTCTTGCCGTACAGTACACATCTGAAGGTGCACAGCAGAACATAAGACAAGCTGTATCCAAGCTGTATCCAAACATGACACCAGAATATGTTTTCCCTCGTTAGATGGAAAAACACCTTGAACACTGTGAACACCAAGACGGATATCGGAATGCATGATGGGGGGAGGGGGGGGCCTACGGAGGAAAGTGTACGGCGGAAGGGTCCTTTGGAACAAACCCGGGGCCTGGGGCTAAGTTTAAAATACTACCTTACACCCGCCTCAGGCTAGAACGGCCGTCACGGAGACACATTTAAATAATAAAAATTATTAAAATAATAAAAATTATTAAAATAATAAAAATTATTAAAATAATAAAAAATTATTAAAATAATTAAAATTGTTAAAATTTGGGTAAACAGTTGCAGCGGCACAGTGGCAACTTAGAGGAAAGTGGCTTTGTTGAAGAGGGGGAGAGGGCGAGGGCGAGGGAATGGGAGAGGAAGACGGAAAGACCTCACACCACACCACTCCATGGCCGATGTGTGTCACCTGTGCATCAGGTGTATGTGTGTGTGTGTGTGTGTGTGTGTCAGATGTGTGTGCCTGGTGTACAGAATCCATCAACCGTAGCCGTCGCAACCCCCCTCCCATCATCACCCCATCCACAGAACCGAACACACGCCAGCCGTGGCCCACCTGTCGCACCGAAGCATCAGCGGCATGCGGCCAATACACACTGCCCCTACGCCGCCGCGGCCCCTCTTCACCACAATCTCCTTGCCGCGGGTGTATTCTATATCCACCGTGATGGGTGCCGAGTAGGTGGCGTCACGCAGACGGCACTGCTGCGGCGTGGTGCCGACCTGAGGAGTGACGGCGGTGGTTGGGGTGGACATGGTGGCGGTGGTTGGGGTGGACATGGTGGCGGTGGTTGGGGTGGACATGGTGGCGGTGGTTGGGGTGGACATGGTGGCGGTGGTTGGGGTGGACATGGTGGCGGTGGTTGGGGTGGACATGGTGGCGGTGGTTGGGGTGGACATGGCGGCGGTGGTTGGGGTGGACATGGTGGCGGTGGTTGGGGTGGACATGGTGGCGGTGGTTGGGGTGGACATGGTGGCGGTGGTTGGGGTGGACATGGTGGCGGTGGTTGGGGTGGACATGGTGGCGGTGGTTGGGGTGGACATGGCGGCGGTGGTTGGGGTGGACATGGTGGCGGTGGTTGGGGTGGACATGGTGGCGGTGGTTGGGGTGGACATGGTGGCGGTGGTTGGGGTGGCAGCGATGCGGGGAAGGCCATTTGAAGCGGTAAGGAGTAACAAAAACATTAATGCACATAGAAAGTATATTCTAGGAGGAGCGAGGAAGTGGAGGCTCTCGGCACCATGCTCCCATGCCCTAACCACCTAACCACCTATGCTCCGTACAAGTGGGTGGTGCATAACTAACCCCACCCCACCCCACCTAGCCAAGCCCAGCCGTGCAGGGAATACACACCTGCACCATGTCCTCATCCATGCTGGGACTCCCCACGTAGATGTTGGTGTACCTGTGGGGTAGTGGGTGTGAGGAGGGGGGTTAGTGGCAACAGCACCCGGGGGGGGGGGATGGCGGTGGCGGGTGAATGGTTTTTTCTCAGTGGAGGAGAGGGTCACATGGGTGAGCAAGGAATCAAAAGGAATGAACTCCCAGCGCCCAAAGTTCAACGTGGTCACTGTACGTGTGCGGGGGTTAGGGTTTTAGGGTTTTCCCAAGCTACATCCTACGCCTTGACCCCTCACATTCAAAACCCCAGAGTCCATTCCATTCCCCGCATTCCAAGGGGGGTTGTTATAGCCCCCCATCCGGCCCCCGATGATTTTGACCCAGGTGGTTGATTCCGCCCTAAAATGTGACGCAGTGATGCAGTGATGGTCACTTACTTGAGGTAGAAGTTGGGGTCCGTGTCGCAGGTGACCTTCTCGTTGGCCGCCACAATCTTCCGAAGCTCCGAGTTCAGCAAGAAGTTGAAGGAGTCCAGGTGCTGCTTCACCAGGCCGCGGACCTGCGAGTGAGTGACGCGTAGGGGGGGGGAAAGACGAACCACAAACGAGTGAAGGTGCTGCCAGGGCAAGAGTGTACCAGACGTATAGAACTGACCGAAAGGCGTCCGCGTACGGGGGGCGTTCAGGGCGGAAAGGCCAAGAATAGAAGAGTGTGGCCCCAAAGGAAATCTACAGGAAATCCTCTCCGTTTGTCAGTCAGTCAGTCTGTCAGTCAGTGGATGGCGCAGATCCGTCTTGGAGCAGAGGCAAATCCTTCAGAGTGCAAAATCCCCCCCCCTCTCTCTCTCTCTCTCTCTCTCTCTCCTAAAGGTGACGCTAGAGCGCTCTACTGAAGGGCCACTGAAGGACTGAGACGCGCCCATCTGGCCCGGCAATTCTTGGCAGTGCCTTGCTTCTTTGAATTTGAAGCACAAATTCAAAAACACCCTCGAGAGAAAATCGCGGGAAAAAGCTGTTATTAATGATCTTCGGAGCCCCGCGTTGTGGGAAAAATGTGCCGATGGCCCATACACAAGATTAACGTAATCGTGTAATCGTAATAGTCCAGCGACGTGCTAGACGTTTCTTGCAAAATAAGAACTGTAGACGTAGCTGCTTGAAAATGTCTTCAACAAGGTGTGGTATCATCAAGAGCCCGCGGAAATAAGTGGGCAGCAGTGTAATGACGCTGTTAAAGTCCGTTAAGTTTTGGAGGCTAAGCTAACCGACAGAAGCTACACGGCTGGCTAGCAGGCAGCTCTAATTCTCTCCTCCGAAAGGAGAAAGGACGGGGGACCTTGGGGTTACAAGGGTCTTGGGGCAAGCCACGCGGCGGCGAAGGGAGAGACCAGGGACTTGGGGGGCCGGGAGGGCGGGGAAAGCTGCGGGACAGCAGGCTTTGCATGCGGCTAGGAGATAGATGCATAGCGGCATAGAGAGCGCAGTCCTCGAGTGTATTGCGAGGAGAAGCGAGGAGAAGCGAGCGTGTGTAAAACGGAAGCAAGAACGGAAGCACGGAACACCTAGCCATCGCTAGCGCTGGGCATATGCACGGGCGCCATTTTTTGAGTTATAAGCACCCGGCTCCGAAAACAGAACGCGTGTGTGCCTCTGCCGAACCACATGGTGGATAGGGGTTTACCGCGCGACCCATTTCGGATTCAATGACCCAATGGTTCAACTTTAGGGCCTTATGCTTCCTATGCCACCCATAGCGCTCCGCAAAGTTTAAAAAAAACAAGCAACCCAGCGCAAACAAGCGCACTTCAGGTGTCGAGATCCGTTACGGAAGTGAGCTGCGCTGCTTGAACGCCTTTTACCGTTTTAATCACCGGGAGGTTCTCCCACGCCCGCGCTAACGCTCCTTGCCTTTGCTGAGCAGGATGACGAGACCGACGCGCCAATAACGCAAAGTATTCAGAAAAATCTTTTTTTAATCTATCTCGATATGTCCGCGTAAGTCTGTGTGTATGTCTGTGTGTATGTCTGTGTGTAAGTCTGTGTGTATGTATATGTCTGTGTGTATGTCTGTGTACATGGTCACGTGTTTCTGTTTTGGTGTTCGGATAGAGTACATGGTCATGGTATTACATGATAGTCCATATGGTGTATACGGCCGTGAATATAGTCTTCAGAATATAGTCGTGCATAATACACATGGTACATGGTGACTTTTAACCAAGCAAATACGGTTGCCTGCAGATGCCTGGCATGCGTCATATGGAAACAGGTTTGATCCTACCCAGCAAACATGGTGACAAGGGCAGCGCAGGTCAAGGTGGTCTGCGTTTTGGGGCAGGACCAAGTCATGACTGTGGAGCGTTGCAGGCGGTAACGCTGTCGCCCGACTTTCGTGAGGAACAGGAGTTTGTGTATGTATGCGCTTATCGCGCGAACGGCAAACAGCGCTACACACCTTCAGAAAGGCAGGGAGCAACGCGAACTTGTCCTGTACTGCCTTTATTGGCTCCGTTAGGCGCGTAGGGTCGCCGTACAATGCCTCTGCCAAAGCCTCGTCCCCGCCGACAGCTGCAAGTCCATCGGGCCCAGGCATGGCCTTCTTAGTGGCAGATCCTGGTTCGCTATCCACGTCCATGGCATCTGTCTCTTTGCCGGCAGCTGCGGCCTTGACCTCCGCGGCTGCCGTCATAGCTCCTCCAAAGCTAGCGCCGCCCACGAGGGCGGCGAATGTCAAGGTTTAAGCGGAGCGATATGAAAAGGATAGAGACAACTTGTGACCTAATTTACAGCAGCCACATGACAGAGGGTGACGTTGGTCTTTTTCGTAAGACCAAGGTGTTGCCAAACTATTACTCTTTTAAACGGTAAATTTCTGTTGAAATCTAAATGGTTTATTTCAGAGAAGCTGTAGGAAAAGCTGGGGTAACAATTCTTCAGCTGTCGGGACCTCTACGGCGCAACATTAATGAGTCTTTAATAAACGGCAAGAACTGCATCATGACAACGCAATTAAAATCCTATTTTAATCTATATAAAACACCTCTTTACGTGCTCCAAAATGTTTGGCGGCGAGGCGGCGAACGATTACCGAAAGTCAGCTGAGGTTAATGCGATTTCCTCAATTTATTGTCCGGGCATGCACAAACAGCATAAATTACGGGTTCTATGCGAGGACTTTTTCAGGCCAGTACGGAGGCCGAATCACTGGCTCACTGGCCTACTCATAGTGGCTGATGCATCCATGATGGTTAAGGAATCGTTCCTCATTACCAGATGATTTAATCAACGCACATCGTACAGCTTCTTAGGTAGTAGTGACCCACAATGCAGTGAAGTCTCAGTTCCCCGAAGGCGCCGTGTGTCATGGATCCTGGCGCAGTTGCGCAACCAGGTTCAAAGTTCTGCTGGAAGGGATACAGAAGGCAGCAAGTAGCACTCTAAATGGCGGCACTGCAGAACTCGCACTACTCGTTCGGGCGCCCTTTCGTTGACAAACCCAGTTTCGAGGGGCTGCCGTCGACAGCAATCGGTTTAGCTCAAACCTCGTTGCTAGCTGCGGACCGTGCTGCGGTCGACTGGGAGCGGGTGGAACTGCTGTTTGAGAGAAACTGGTGCGTTTTTCACCTAATCAGCACATGCTGCCACACATGCGGTTACAATTTTGTCGTTGGGATGGCGCACGTGTTCTTTTTTACAAAACGTGCACCCGACATGCGGCAGCATTTCACGCACGCATGCCACGCCATATTGCACACGTGTCTAGGTTTGGACCATGCGCGTGCCTGGGCGGTATGTGGAGCTCGGAGGAGCAGGTTGACCTCCTCTCATCTGACTTGGATGCTGCGGAAAGCGGGTCGCTAGTCGACTTCACCGCACAGCCAAGAACAGCGGCTGCTGCGGCAAGGGGCTTCCTCCGTCTCTTCAGGACACCCCGATTTCAGCCCTCTCCAAACGCGCAGTCCGCAATCCTGTCCACGCAAAATGCGAGCAGAGGCCAGGCCCCGCTATACGGCGCAGCGGCTGCTCCATTGCCCGAGCCCGCCTTCGTTTCCAGCGCCATTCAGGATTCCTCTCCACCGAAGGCGTTGCCCGTGCCAAAGCGACTAGCCAGTTACGCCAAAGAAGATGGCGACGATGGCCCTCTACCGCCTGTAGTAGCTAGAGACCCTCCATCAGCGGCAACTGTTCCGAGACCGGCCGAGCCGTTGCCAGCGCAGCCAACCCTGCCGGGCCGTGTCACACCCGATAACCCCCCCCACGAGGCCCTTAGACCCCAGCTGGGAACCTGGGCTGACCGGCAGTACCGGCTGTTGGACCCGGTTCCGGAGCGCAACGAGTTTGGCCCGGGCAGTACTTCGGGGAACTCAGGCCCCTCCTCTAGCCACAACAACAACTCTGTGCCGCCTGTTGGGCTAGCCCGGAACGGGCATGGCGGCAGCGGGGGTGTTGGCAGCGGTAGCGGTGGCTGCGGCAGCGGCAGCGGCAGCGGGGATTACAGCGGCGGCGGTGGCAGCAGCAGCAGCATCTACACCTCCATCTTAGCAGTGCCTACTGGGAGCTCCGTCGTAGCTCCTGACCCACTTCAAAAACAAAAGCAGCACCACGAAAAGCAGCAAAACTATCAGCACCACGATGACTCGGTGCTGGGGCATACGATGATACACGGGCGGGCACATGTAGGGCCCCACGTACAAAACGGGGTCCCACAACTGGCAGCAGCAGCCGTTCATAACGGCGCCGACGGCACCATGGCGCAGCAGCAAAGAGTCCAACCCATTGAGGAAGCCGCCGAGCGCCAGATGGACGCGGAGGCGATGATTCAGGAAGCCGCCTGGCGCTGGCGTTTTACTCGACGATGGCAGGCGGAGCAGGCGCGCACTGGCCCTGAGCAGGCCTCCGCCTCCGCGCCGCGCGACCAAATGGAGGAGGCCCTGGCGTACCTGCAAGCCACCAACGGCACCACCAGCGTCTCCATGCAGATTGCTAACGTCAGCAGCCGAGGCGGCGGTAGCCATGGCAGCGGCAGCCGCGGCGGCGGCGGCATGTCGATGGACGGAAGCTTGATGCTGACGGGCATGCCGGGAACCCTTGGAGGCGCTGCGAGTACGTTGGGCGGGGATTGGCCGCTGGCTGCTTGCGGCAGCGGCAGCGGCAGCTTCACGTCGGGACCGCGTATCCTGGCGCGGCAGGTTAGCGGGGAGCTCCTGGCGGCTAGCCGTGAGGTGGCGTCGCTGAACAGGCGCGCAGCGGCAGTGCTGCAGCAACAGCTGGATTGCGAGCTGCAGGCGGATCGCAGGTGGGCGGGTCACCTCCACTCGCACGCACGCACACACAAGGAAGCAAGGAAGCAAACAAGCAAGGAAAAAAAACCTAGCGCGCTTGTGCTGGCGTGGGGTTGCGGTTCCACGCGTCTTACCCCGTTCCCCCTCTCTCAAGCTGCAACCTTCGGTTCCCTTTGCAAAGGGAACCCCGCCACGCAATTCCACCTCTCTCCCTCCCTCCTCCCTTTCCTTGGCATCAGCTTCATCGCTCATGGTTCGTCTTTTCCCTCCCTCCCCCAACACACACATTCTCCTGGCGCCTCCCTGTGTTTCCATGTCTTCTCCAGGGTCCAGGAGTCGCTGGGACAGGGTCCGCCCTGGTTGGGTCATTTCATCCCCCTCGTTCAGATAGACGAGTGGGGCTCCTTCAGGTTCCTGATGCTGAAGCTGCGTGACCAGTCGGCACGGGGAGGCGGGGCACCCGGCAGTGAGCGACAGCGCATCCTCATTCGGGGGCATAACTACGGCACCGAGGGGCAGCTGATGGAGGAATGCAACCGTGAGGTGCGTGTATCGTTGCGCGCGCGCTCGGTGAAGGTAAGGCATGGCAACTCGGCATGGCAACGCTTGCGCTCTTGGCTGGCTGATTCGTTTTGATTCGTTGCTCTTTGCACATGACTTCCCCTTGGCTGGGTGGTGGCTGTGTGTTTTTGCTGCTATTCGCTGCTGACCCGCTAGTGTGCAATGTGATTCATTGTTCGGAATGAAATTCGGATGTGATGGTTTCGGAGCCGTGTGGCCGACACCTAGTAAACTTTGGGCGCCGGCAGCTCATCTCTGGTTTCCTTGCATATAAAGTTCCCTTTCCCCACAAACAAACAGTCCGTGGTAACGGGACCGCTTTTAGAGCTCCGGGAGGTTTACCTGAGGCCTTTTAACTTTTAACAATCCATAGGATTGTAACAAATGGCCTGGAGATAAACATCGCGGTATAGAAATTATTCGTTATTCCTTTAAATATTACGAATGGGGCACTGAAGTTAATAAAGGGCCGTTAGTGGTGGAAACGGCTCGTGGTTTAAGATAATTTGATTTAATAAGCAATCTAAAGATAGAAGTTTTTTTAGCTGCTACCCTGCCAGTCAAGCTGCCAGTTGAAGACCGCCCTGCCTGCTCTGTTCCATCTTGAACGCATTTCCGGTCCCTGCCTCTGTCTGTCTGTCTGCGCATATGCACGTGCGCAGATCTTGTCTCTTGCCCACAAGCATGCGGTGCCCTTCGAGGCGCCGACCTGCATGGGCGGCGGAGTCATGGAGTGGCGCCGCGACCGTGACCGCCACCTGCACCTTCACTCGGGCTTTGTGATGGATCACACGCTGCCGATGGCGACCGGAGGGGGGGGCCTTATGCCGGCCAACGGCAGCCGACCCGCCTCCGCCATTGATCTACTCAACCTGGCGGCTGCCCTGGCGCGACAAAGCTTCCCTCCTACGTACAAGATAACTGTTCTGACGTAGCGGGGCGTAGCGCTGCATTGCGCTGCTTGGTTTTACTGGGATGCTGAGTCGAGGCGTTTGCGAAGTAGGGGGGTTGCGAAAGGTAAGGTGGAAGGCATGTGAGGAGGCATGGATGCCGCTTGCATGCGGTCATCTTGGCGAGTTGATTAGTTTGGACGAGTGGAACTTAATCACTTGCAATGTGCATGTGGAGGGCATGGCCAGTAGATGGCGCGCTTCTAAGAGCCTGCTGGGGGTTGTTGCGGCGGGATTGATGAAGCTTTTTGTAGCTGCCTGATCTTTCCATCACAGCAGGTGCCAAACGCAGGTTGCACCTTGACGACACATACAGGCGCTGCTGAAGGGGTCGAACGCTGAAACGATGGATCGCTGAAGGGCTGAGAGGGAAAGAGGGAAATTTGTTTCTTTTAATGCTGTGTGCGTTTCTTTTCTTCTCAAATGCCATTTCGTTCCTGCGCGTGTATATTTGTGCGTGGCGGTGGCGTTGGTTGGAGGAGCCATCGTGGAGTTGCGTGTGGTGGCGATGTATGTCTCCTGGGTCGCTCCGGAATCAGCCTTGGACAGCGGCGATGTTTGTTGCGGGTCAGGGTTAGGCTGCTGGTCGGGCGGCATGATGGGTGGAGACCGGAGACCTCGTGTTCCGGGGCATCTTATTGGAGGGGAGGGCAAAAGGCGCTTGCGGCGTGTTCAAGCTGGAGCTGAGTAAAATATCAGCAAAGAGTTGTTAAATCTGTAGAGCTGCCCTTACAAGCTTTTTGCTGTTGGTCCTTGTGCCGGGGTGTGCTACGTTGCTGTGCTGCGTTTTCCTTCCCTTGTGGCTCCCCGCGGCGGTTTTGAGGAGGAAGACCTCGGTCGAGTGCTTTTATCTCTTGGCGATTTATTGCCCGCATTTTGCAGGAGGCATGTAAGCGATGTGCGGGTTGCTGCTGCTGCTGCTGCTGCTGCTGAGTAACGTGTATACGATGTACGCGATGGGAGACGCTTCCGGGGGGGCCTAGTCTCTGGGGGCCGATGCTGAGGCCCCTCACCTTACAAGGCTCTGCCCTTGCAAGTTTGTGGAGAGGGGAGTAGGAAGTAGTGAAGGGAGAAGCAGACTTTTGAGCGGCTATCGTCGTGATATGATCACTGACGGCATGTCCATTTGCCGGTATGTGGTTTTGACGCTCTAGATGGGGCATGGCATGTCCTTATGTTCGAACATGCTGCAGAGCTGTTGCGGGTAGAGGTCGAGCAGTTGTGCAGATTCGGGAGGTGCGGCATCTCCCGAGCATCCTTTGAGCGGGCATATGTACTGTGTATACGAAGTCGCGGAGGGCCTGGAGGAGTTCGGCGGCGTTGGTGGTGTGCGGTGCATCGTGCCATTCTTTGAGAACGACAGACGCACAAACAGACGGACAGTGAGTTCAGTATCAGGCTCATGAGCCCCCAGGCATTTCGCATGTCGGACTGACCGCTGTTAGGGTTATCGTCTAGCCAACAGCTTGAGATGATTGAGATGCCTTTGTTGTAGGAGGCGTTGGCTTTGTTGTCGGAGCCAGCTTTACACGATGACGCCGTGTGCCTGGTCCGCCACGGCTATGTAGCTGGGGCCGGTTTTTGAAGGGGAAGCAACTGGAATTGCTGCCTCCATGTTGCAGTGTGGCGCAACGGCACATTGGTGTTTTTCTGCGCCACCAACGCGCCGTGTTCTCGGACGCATTTTTTGCGGCGGCATGCCTCAGGTAGACCTCGATACCAAGGAGAGACGTCCATACCGAGGAGAAATGCGTGTTGGTTTCGGAACTGCGGTACTTGGGATTTTTGCGACACATACTGGTGTTGGTGTACAGGAAGGGGCGTTATTACTGTTTGGGAGGGCAAGGGGTAGAGATGAATAGGAAAGGGTGGCTGGGCATAACCAGCATGCGAGTGTGACGAGGGAGAGGCCAGCAGCAGAAGGACAGCTGCCGAGGTCGAACATGAACGAATGCCTGTGCATATGGACCTATTTTGTTCCTGTCTGCAAGACCAAATTTTGTGCCTGTCTGCAGCAAAAGGAGGACTGCTGCCAGTTCCGAGGAGAAATAGCTGCGTGAGGAGTTAGTACGCCTGCGCTTTGTTTTTTAATAGGCGACGACCGGTCTTTCCTATTGAATAGAGGGTGAGAAGGCGACAAAGCACATATTGTTTGTACATGAAGTTGTTGTCTGTGGCGGGGATGGGTGGGGGGGAAGGAGTCGGGCACCACTGCTTGGTATTAGGTGTCAAGTATCGGGTCGCTGTGACGGTTGTGGATGGTGGAGACCGCCAAAAATGGACGATATTTGGGCTGCGCTTTGCGCAGCATTTGGATTTCCACCTGGTGTGTGGGTAGGGAGAGACAGGGGGGAGCGCCCAATTTTTGGGCAGAGTGCGCGGGACGCCTTGTTTGTAGGAGCATGTGGCTGCCCCTCTTGAGCTCTTTCCCTCCGTCATTGAATATTAGTATATGAGCTTTAAGGACAACCCTGCAGGCTCCAACATGTTCCATAATCCGACTACTTCGGGAATGTGACAGCCAATAAAAGTCCGTCCAGATAGTTCAAATGCCACTTCAAAAGTAGCTTCTCAAACATGAATATCATGATTGTACTCTATTATAGCGATGAAAGACATGCAAAATGCGCTGTCAGCTGGGGAAGTTGGAACTTTAATTTTTATGCACGTGGAACCAGGGAGCTGCCTGAACAAGGCAAACACCTTAGAAACTCACCCCCAAAATTGAGATTTTACTCCACGTATTAAATTATACAGTATGGAATGGTTTGACAGCGAAAGCTGCATGCGACGAATATAGAAAATCGCTGATGTACGGAAGGTCTGTAATGTATTGGTAGAGCTTGCAGAATGGATAAGCGAAACTTGCGCATCCTTATCTTGTTGACAATCGCTTTCACACATTATAAGTTATATTTGTATTTGCGCAGAGTACTTGGCCGCGGCTTTACACTAGGCACACTGATTTCCATATGGCTAGTAACAATATGCAAATTAACTTCGCCACATGAGACTGAGGATTGAATAGCGGGCCTAGGGCGCCCAACCCAAATGCCTGGAACTCTTGACCTGTCTTTGACGACTGGTGGCAGACACGACGCAAAATGGACCCATTCAAGCCACCAAGGAAAAGCCCTGCAAAGCGAGGAAACTTACCTATGGGGGTTGGGCACATTCCACCACCTCAGGCGTACAAGCAGCCTGGACATCCGCAAGCAGGGCGCAAGCCGCATGGCCTTTTGCAGACGTTAAATAAGCTTGAACAGGAATCGGAGGACAGGGCGTTCGAGCTTATTCGGCTCAGGGTAGGCTCACCAACTTAGAACGGAAATGCGGAGTCAAGCGCTTGCATTTCAGCATCCTACGAGCTGAATGCTGCGTGCATCCAATCATCTTGCTACGCTCCTTAGTTGACCACATTTTTTTAAAACTGAGTTGCTTGATCGCTATACTTTCAATGACAACGTCGTTCGCAGACGTTGGTGTTGAAGTTGGAGAAAGAGAAGGAAGATGCAGCGACAGTATGCCAGGACCTCAAGCGAGAAAATGCGGAGCTTCAACAGGTGTGCGGGCATTTTGAGTCAACTTCAACTGGGACGTTGTTAGGGGGCTCGCCATGGTCAACCAACCATGACACCCTCGCACGCATCAAAGAGCAACCTGTGTGCCTGTCATTCTGCTTGCCTGATCATAAACTATTGCCATATCGGGGTCTGTGGTCTTGACTTGTCTGTCGGTCCTCCCGGGTGCTCAGCAACCACGGACAACGTGCGCAAACAATTGCAAGATTATGAAGTAATCTGCACGACATTTCATGAAATAATGCCTGCCGGGCACCTGCTTGGCTGGACGTGGACGTCCGGTTTGCGTGTCTACTTATTCAAATTTTGCACACGTTTCCCCCACTTAACAGGAACTTTCAAAATCCAGCTCAGAGTTGCAACGACTCAAGCGTGAGCACAACGAGTTGCGTTGCCGGCAGTGGCTGGACAATGCGCAGGGCCTCAGCCACGTCCGCGCCGCCGCCATGGAGGCAGCGGCTGCGGCCGCTGCTGCCGCCTCCTTCCCTCTACAGCCAGGTGGCCCCAGCGGCGCCGTCGCCCCCTCGACACATGGACGCAGCGTTGCCGCCGGTGGGGGCTTGAACGCCACCAGCGGCACCACAGATATGTTGCTGACGGCGGCGGACGACCCGGGGCCGCCGTCACCGCGGAGCGAAACGCCGCTGACGGCAACTCCACCGGGGCCGCCGGGCATGGCTGGCGAAAGTCTGTTGCAGCAGCCAGGCGGCCAATCGCTCATGGCCATTGAGGAGTCACGCGAGGGCGAGGAGGGCGAAGATGGTGGCGTTGGCGGCTCTTCCGAGGCAGCCGCGCCTGTGGCCATGACGCCACGTAGCAAATCAATCGCGTCCGTATCTGCGCTGCCGACAGGGGCGCAACTTAGCGGGGGTACCATCGCCACTGTCGCAACTGCCGCCACGGAAGACCGGGTTGCCGGCGAGGGCAATCCTGCGTTGGCGCGCACCAGCAACAGTACTGGCAGCGCAAACCACGTCCCACGATGCAACTCGGCGCGTGGGCCGCAGGTAATGTCGGCTGTCGCGACGACGCCTGTGGGCATGACGCCTCCTCTGTCGCCGGCAGTCGGCATCCGGGCATCAATGCTGGGCCATAACAACACCGCGTTCGCGGCCTCGGCATCAGCGGCGGCGGTCGCAGCAGCGGCAGCAGCAGCGGGCGTGGCGCCCGCGGCAGCGTCGCCGGCGCTGCCGTCTCAGCAGGTCCACCAGCAGAAAGCGGCAGCAGCTGCGACGGTGCTGCTGCAGGAGGAAAACAAGCTGCTGGCGGTGCAGCTCTCAGACTTCAAGGAACGTGTGATGTACCTCCAGCAGGAACTTGCCGAGGAGAAAATCAAGCACGACTCTAGCATAGCGGCGAAGAAGGAGCTGGAGGAACGCCTGGCGGAGATCACCGCCGCGGCGGCAGGACCGGCGTACCACGGCGGCGGCGGCGGCGGGGCCTCCGCTGGCCGCGGCGGCGGCGGTGGCGGCTGGCGGAACAGTAGCGGCGGCGCCCCAGGCAGCGCCGCGCGTGACCTGCAGCGCATGCAGAGCCACCAGCAGCACAGTCCTGTACGTGGCGGCGGCGACGGCGGCGAACGGCCCAACGTGCTCAGCCCCATCACGGAGCAGAGTCTAAGCGCACTGCAGGACCTTATAGCCAAGCTACGAGAGGACAAGGACACGGCGTTGGTTTCGAAGCAGCGGGAGCTTGACGCGGCGAAGCAACGGCTAGACGCGGCGAACAAGGTGAGCTTTGCAAGTCGACCCGACCCGACTAAGCTTGGTCGGGAACAATGTTTTGGTGGCTCTCCCCCATGCAAACATTTCCCGGTCCTGTGTTTGCCGTTGTGCAGCGGGAACTGCAGCGGGCAGAAACTGCATTCAGGTTGTTGTTTGCGGTCATCCTTATTAACCCTCGTGGAACACGATGACTCCAGGCTTTAAAAAACGTCTGTCGCGCGTCTGTCGCAGGAAATCGAAGCGCTGAAGCAGCAGGTTTCGGAGGCCAATCGGGTTATTGTGGAGAAGCTGGCTAAGGCGCCATCGCCAGAAGATGTTGCGGAGCTGAAGCAGCACATTGAAAAGCTCAAGGTAGGTCGCGTGGTGATGGTGTGCCCGGTGGTTGGGTGGTGGTGCTGGCGGTGGTTGGATGATGGTGCTGACAACATGTTTTGGCCTCGTATGTTGTTGCTGCAATCCATATTTTCCGTTGCTGCAACTGGTCATTCTGCACTCGATTGTTGCTTTGGATGAACCGCAGCGTCAGCTTCATAGCAAGAACAAGCATGCGGAGGAGGCCAATGCACGTGTAGCTTCCCTAATGCGGGAGCTGGCCATGCGGGATGCAGCGGCAGCGGCGGCGGCAGCAGTGCCGCCGCAGCCTGCGGCGGCGACGGCGACGACGAGGCCGCCGTCGCCGTCACGGCCTTCTACCTCGGACGTCTCATGCTCGCCAGCGGTCAGCGCATCGAGCAGCAGCGTCAGCGGGGCGACGCTAGCGGCGGCTTCCGTACAGTTGTCGCTGCCGACGGCGACGGGGGGCCTAACGCCGCGCGGGTCGGTGGCGGATTTGAGGGCGGTGACACCCACAGATTCTAAGGCGCAGGAAGCTTCGAGTCCTCCGATCGTCCAAACCGAATCCAGCGACGCTCGCGTGGCATCAGGGCGGTCAGCGACGATGACGCGTCCAGCATCTGCGCGACCGGGGTCCGCGCTTTCACCGCCGCTGCCTGCGGCAGCGGCGTCAGGGGCGGCGGCGCAGACGGCAACGCACGGCACCATGCGGCGGCTCACGTCAGCCTCCGTTTCATCCGTCGATGGCCTCCGCGCCGCCGCCGCAGCGGCGGCGGCGGCTGAAAACGCCGCCGTCAAGCTGGCGGCGGCGGAGGCGCGCCTTCGGGATCAGGAGGTGAGAATTCGGGAGCTCGAGTCGCAGACGGTGGCAATGGCAGCGGAGCAGCGGCGAATCGAGGACGAGGCGGCGGCGGCAGCGGAAAAGGAGCGAGCTGCTCGCGAGGCTAAGGCGGCGGAGGCCTCCGCCGCCGCTTCGGAGCTCCAAAGCCGATGCGCGGCCTTATCCCAGCAGGTAGAGCAGGCGACGGTGCGTGTGATGGAGCAAGAAACAAGGCTTAGCGAAGCGCGTGCGCGGGTCTCAGAACTCGAATCGGAGCTGGCGGCGCAGCGCGCCGGCGCCGACGCCAAGGCGGCGGAACTGCTACGACAATTGGAGTTGGAACGACACGAGGTCGCAACGGCGTCGGCGGCGTTGGCGGAGGCGCAAGCTGCCCTGGCGGCGACATCGCTGGAGCTGCAGCACCGCAACCGCGACCTTGAAGACGCCCGCGCGGAGCTCGGAGAGGTACGACAGCAGCTGGCGGTGGCGCGGGAGGACGCCGCCGCGGCGGCGGCGCGGGCGGCGGAGGAGCTGGCGGAGTCGCGCACGGCGGCGGAAGCCGCTGAAGCGGCCGCCATGGTGGCGCGTGCAGCGGCGGCGGAAGCGGAGGCAGGCGCAGCCCGCCTTGAGGTTACTCTGGATGCGGCGCGCGGGGAATCTGCGGACCTCCGCGGCCGGCTGGAGGCAGCGATTGCGCGTGCAGGGGAGTTGCAGACGCGCGTCGCGGCGATGGAGGCGTCGTGCGAGGCGCAGGTGGCGGCGCTAGCGCAGCACGACACGGCCATTGCGGAGCTGCACGGGCTAATGCACGACTTGACGGAGCGACTGACGGGCGTTACGGCGGAGCGCGACGGCGCGCGGGAGGAGTTGGCGGTGGCGCGCGAGGCCGCGGCGCTACGGGAGGAGGAGCTGGGGGCGGTACGACGAGACTTGGAGGCGACTCGTGGAGAGCTCGAAGCGCGGTCTGCGGAGTTGGCGGACAAGGTCGGTTGCGGGGACAATCTGTCTGCATGCATGCATGTTCGGAAAGCTCGCAGGTGCAGGCAGGGATTTATGAATGAACACATGCACGCACATGCATACAGAGAGACAAAGCTCCTCCAGAGCAAAACCAGGTTCACTCCCACCTTTCCCAATCCGCCACCGGATCCCTCCTCCCCCCACTCCTCCACGTACTGTACATGACCTCTCCTTCCTCCCCCCCGACACCCCCATACCCCCACCCCCACAGGCTACTCAGCTGGCATCCTGTCTCGAGCAGCTGGCCGCCGTAGAGCCCTCCCTGGCCTCCCTGCGCTCCTCCCTGGACTCCACCAAGTCCCGGGCAGCTGACCTGGAGGCCCAGCTGGCCGCCACGTCATCCCGTGCGGACTGCCTGGCCAAGGACCTGGCCGAGGCCACGGAGCGCGTGTCGGACTTGGCCGGGCAGCTGAGCTCGGCGGAAAGCAGGGCGGCGCAGCTGGGACGGGCTGTGGCGAACAAGGACGAGGAGGTGGGCGGGGTCAGGGACCGGGGGCAGTTGTCGTGTAGAGAGGTGGAGGTGCTGGAGTAGAGGTGGAGGGAGCTCGGGTAGAGGTGGAGGGCGAGTGCCGAGGGGTGTGTCTCTGGATGGGGGGAAAAGGGTAAGAGGCGGTAGTTTCACCTGCCCTTCCTCCCCCTTGTCCTGCAAGGCTGCTAAGACGTGCTCTTGAACGTCTGGGTGTAGTTGGTCTCGTCCTGTCTCGCCACAGGGAAAAATTCCGCCATGACGAGAGGCATGTCTGTCGGGCTGAGAAGCTTAGGGTGTTTGCGGCCGCAGCCTTTGCGCTATTGCCCTGGACGACGCCCCGTCGGCAGTTGCGTTCCTTCTGTGAATCTCCATGCATGCTGCATCTTCTCCCCGACCCTTTTCATCATCATGTACTCCCTTCCCGAGTCCTCCCCGCTTCCCCTCTCCCTCCCTCCCCCCCGCTCCCCCCGTTTCCTGGACTTCAGGTCTGCTCCCTGCAGGTTACCGTGGATGTGCAGGCAGCTGAGCTGGAAGAGCTGGGTGCTCGTAACGCCCGCATGCAGGGCCTTATCAAGGAGATGGCGGGCCAGATGGAGGCCCTTCAGTGCAGTCTGTCGCGGCAGACGGGGCTGGTGGCCAAGCTGGAAGCGGCGCTGGTAGCGGCGGGCATGCAGACGGCGGAGATCGAGGAGCTGCACAGGAGCCAGTCCATGGTGTACAGGTAGGTACGCGTGTATGTGCGCGTGCGTTTGTGGGTATGTATGTATGTTGAATGTTCGTCTGGGGAAGGGGATTATAAAAAATATAATATATGATATGTATGTTGTTACAGGGTGGTATAGCTTCACCAGCGGCCCCCTTTCCCGAGGCAGTTCCCTGCTCTCGCCTGCTAGAGGGGCACCCTAATCCGTTCACCCCATCCGACTTCAGAATGTATTCGTTGGGTTCAGCAACTCATTACCACCAGCATTCAACCAAATCTAGCGGATCAACGGCGCTTCAACTTAGTTCCTGATCAGCTCGCAAGTTGATATAATCACGTCCTATACCGTCTATAAGATGGGGGGCCACCTCCCATTTCAACACCTCTCACACACCGAGAGGTCGGCAGGCAAACTTGAACCCGGACACTCCGGGAGCAGAAGCCAGGCCTTCACCTCTCTGCCAGCCGCCTGCCTGTATGTATGTATGTATTTGTGTGTGTTTCGCGTTATCCTACCATCACACCCGCATATACCACCGTCACCACCACTATCGCAGCTACGTCCTTCCGCCGTCCAGTAAGCAGCACCATAAATCCGTAAACACCCCCACCGCCAACGTCTTTTTATGTAGGGAGCGTATCGAGGACACGCAACGGCAGCTGAGCAGCGCCCGCCTGAAGCTAACGGAGATGAACAAGGAAGTCAACCGAATGACGGCTCGTGGAGGTGTGGCGTCGGCAGGGACGTTGCTGGCATCGGCACGGAGCGAGTTGTCGGCGCTATTCAAAAAGATGAAACACGTGGCACAGGTAAAGGGCGCCGTGTGCGTGTGTGCATATGTGTATACGTATGTATGCATGTATGTATGTATGTATAACTTGACGAATATATGTTTATATGTATACATATGTATTCGTCAAATCACATTGTATATGTTCGTCAAGTTTCGCTTGAGCTTTTTCGCATTTTTCGCGAGTGTTTGCGAAGTGGTTAACTGATTCGTTTTCATATATACAGGCGGGTAGGAGGCGGTGTATAGGAGAGAGGGCCGATGTGAAAAACAAGGAACTGCGGCTCCGAAACCCCTGTACTCTGCCGCTGTCCCCATGCTTAAATTATACTTGCGGTTAGATTCCCTTGTTCGATCTGTTATTGTTGTTCTTGATGTTGGTGGTGGTGGTGGTGGTGCTCCTGCAGGCTTATCGCCTCACATTGCCGACCATAGTAGCGAAGCAGCTTCGAACTGACGGCGCAAACTTGACGGAGCTGCAGCTCTTCCATCTGCTTCATGCCGTACTGGCGGCGTTGGAAGCCACTGGCGGAGGCAGCGGAGGCGTCGCGTCTTCCGGTTCGCCGCCGCCGACCGCGCCGTCGCCGCTGCCGCTGCCATTGCCGCCGCCGCTGGTGGCAACGCAGGCGGCCGTCGCCGCAGCTAGCCATCCCGTACTGGCTGCGCTGCCGCCCGTCAACGGCCGGCCAGGCAGTAATGGCGCCGCGCCGACGCCGTTGCCGCCCAACTACGATCTCCGCGCCGCTCTTCTGGGCCAGCCGCTTTTACTGCCGTCACCTGTCGGCGACGTCGAGCAAATGCCGATGACGGCGTCGGCGATGCTGCAGCGCTCTGCCAGCGGCGTCAGCAGCTTCGCCATTAGCGGAAGCCCTGGCGGCGGCGGTGGAGGCGGCGGCAGCGGCAGCGGCCTCCGATCCCCGAATAAGAGCAGCAGCGTGCCCCACCTGCTGGGAGTCGTGAGCCCTACCATGGTTGCCTATCTGCCTGCAGGCAGCACTCCCGTGGCCAGTGTTCACAGTGGCGAGTTGTCACCTGTGCGAGCAGGCCATCACGGCAGCCGCTACCGTGGCGGGGCCGCCGCCACCGCCGCCGCTGCTGACAGCATGGGCGTCAGCAGCGGCGGCGGCAGCGGCGGGCCGGCGCCGCTGCCGCCGCCGTCGGCGGCAGGGACGACGCGCAGCAGTGCAGGCGGGTTGCGTAGTAGCGCAGGCGGCGGCGGCGGCGGCGTCAGCCGCGCCTTCACGGACACGGGTTCCATTCTCTCCAGCCATAGCCGACGGGCCAGCGTCGCCGGCAGCGTAGTTGAGGAGCTGTGCGGTGACCGGCGCGGCAGCGCAGGCGCCAACGACCCGTACGACAGCTATGAGTCGCTGCCGGAGCTGCCCGTCGCTGTTAATCACTCGACTGCCATCGCCATGGCCGCGGCCGTAGCCGCCGCCGCGGCCGCCGCCAGCGGGATACGGAGCCGTGAGGTGAGCCGGCCGCCTAGCGTTCACAGCCGCCCTGGGAGCTCGGCGCTCGGCGGCGGCGGCGGCGGCGGCGGGAGCGCCACTGCTGGCGGACGGCCCGGCAGCGCCGGCGGCGGCGGCGGCGGTCCCCGGCGCTACTCCGACTCGGGCACCCATGGCGGCAACTCCAGCGGCGGCCTGTCTAGCATTCCTTCGGTGCCTCACCACTTGCCGCCTCTCGTTGCACGGCCTTCCTCGACGGCCCTTATAGCCGTCGACTCGAAGTAAGCTCAGGGCCACAGGCGCGGCCGCGGCCCGTGGTGTCCTATAACTGATGGTCCTTAGAGACAGCTTCAACCTTGCTGGCACCCGGCCAAACAGCGTGGATAGCTCTTTCTCGATGTTTTATCGGAGCTTAATGTTGGACGCAGCACACAAATGAAGATGTGTGTTGTGTTTTGTGCGTGTGCGTTGGGGGGGGGTCCATGCTTGGGGTCATGCTTGGGGCTGTCACTTGCTTGGCAGGATGGGTGCAGACATGGATGGATGGATGGATGGATGTAAGGGCGTAAGAAGGGCGAAAGGACTGGGGGCCACAGAGGTCAAAAGTTGGCTTTGGGCGGCAGCTCAAAAAGAATTTTCGGCTGCGACGACGCCGGGCCGCCTGAAAATTTCCGCAATGGCAGTTCGGTTTTAATGGCACACTATGTGATGAGCCTTATGAACTGCTTTTGCAAATGTTTCGCAAAGAATCATGAAGATGGTATTGAGGAAGGGAGGGGAGGGGATGGGAGGAGAGCGGGAAAAGAAGGGAGGGGAGGGGAGGCTGTTTTACCATGACGCCGTGACAAGATGATGGCAAAAGCCACGCCGCCGCCACCGTTGCCTCCGTCGGCAGTTTTATCAACCTCCCGCATTCCCCCAGCAAGCGAGTGCCTAACTAGGCGCCTCCGTGTCGCTGCCTGATTTGGGACGGATGAAAGGGAAAGGCGCGGTGCTGTGAGATAGCTGGCTGGCCTTGCGAGCGCAGCAGGACACCTAAGGGGGGGGAAGGAGGAGGGTGCAACCATTGCCGAAACAGGCAATAAACCCTTAGTCGTGGCGGCGGGCTGTGCCGCGGAAATGCTTTTGCAGTCCCCTCTGGTTTACTTCGCTTCAAAGGACATGGAGGAGCTATGGCGGGAGGGAGGGAGGGGGGGGTAATGTTAACGACGGCATTGTATTGTGGTGTTTTCCTGGTTGGGGTCTGCAACGTCGTCACTCCCGCAATCGTGCGCATGCACAGCTCCAGGGGGGTTCCTGGAGGGGAAGGGGCGGGGAAAAGGGGCGCGCGACGCGTGTGCGCGTGTCTGTCTGTCTGTCTGTCTGTGTGTTTGTGTGTATATGCCCATGTGCCGGGCGAAAACTTTTTTCTGCACACTCTGTATGCCCGTTGAGCCATCTCTCTCCAATCTCTCCAATGAATGGAAATCTCCTTCGCGCAGCCAGATGTCGAATTTCGGTTTTACCCTCACATCAATGCAAAAAAATCGTTGTTTAACACAAAAAACAACAGCAGCTGTCTGGAGCATTTGGGGGGGATTCCGGTTCACGGGAATGGTTGTTTGGTTGTCTTGTGGTGTCGCAGTGAAAATAGGGATTTTAGGGGTTTAAGGGGTGTTAGGGTATTCGTCACCAGGTGAGGGGTCTTCATGCCGGAAGAGGCAAATACTGCGAATTTTGGGATTCGAATTTTGGGACGTGAGGATGTATCCCGTGAGTCCTGATCCCGGCGACGTGGCAATACGGATGTCGTACGTGCAAGATAAATGAAAAAGATGGTGTTGAATGCGATCTCTGCGTGGTTTTGGGAGGGTTGGGGGTTGGAGCTCTCTTATTCTTTGGACACATCCAGGATTTGGCTTTTGGATGCGTCTACTGGCACACGCACGCACATACATACAGACATACATACCTGTACACGTGTGGGCGCACTTTATTACGACATCCGGAATGGGTGGGGGCCTAACAGCGATGGGTGCGTTGGGTCTGGGGCAGTTCATAATTGTCATTACGACGGCATCTATGGCGGCAGCGGCGGTGGCGGCTGAGCAAATCACGTGCGGGGCCAGGGAGCGATATCAGGGGGATCTGCTGCCGCTGCTGCTGCTGCTGCTGCTGCTGCCGCTGCTGCTGCCGCTGCTGCTGCTTGTGGTGGTGGTTGTGGTGGTGTGCTACGACACGACATCGCGTGTCACGTCACGTCGAGGAATATCGCTATCTTAAATGCCGCACTTTACACCACTCCACTTTACCTTCAGTGTCTCCCGCGCACGTTGTACCGGGAGCCTGATTAAGCAACACAATATAAGTATATGTGCGACGTGGCGATGTGGGTGTGTGGGTGTATGTATGTGTGTCTGTGCGTGTGTGTTGTGGTTTACATGGCGCAGTGCATCATCCTCTCATCCTCATCATCCTCATAATTGTGAGGTGCACAACCATCTCGACTGTGCCAGAGTTGAGGGGGGAGGGCCTTGTTGACGTTGCCTGGCGGGCCTCTGCCCAGATCAGATCTTAGTTGCGGATCGAGGACTGTCGATCACGTGACTGGGGTATGTATGTGTGTCTGTGTGTTGTGCACCCGCGTGTGTGTATGTGTGTGTGCGTTGTGCACCCGCGCATTGTGAACCTTCGAGTGGTTTGAGCTAGAGCTCAGGCAGCGGCGGCGTGCATGCGCGCGTGTGTGCGTGTGTGTGTGTGCGTGTGTGTGTGCGGCAGCGTATGCGCGCGTGCACGTGCCCAGGAGGAAAGCAATGCATCCTCTGGGGGTTACATCAGGGGGACAAGCATACTAATACATACGTACGTACGTACATAGATTGCTGCACGTGTTGATGGGTTTTAGAAGGGGATACCGGGTGAGATAATCGGATGAGAGGAGAATTTTGATGGTGTATTGGGGGGGGACTAAAACACCATGTAAGCTGGAAACATTGTGTTGGTGGTGCGTGCGGTAGCGATAGGAAAATAGGCGCCTGGATAAAAGCTATGGGGTTTGCGTCTTATGTGGACTGAGATGTCGTGTCATGTACTGCAATGGCGAGTGAGCGTTGGTTGGCGGCGTAGATTGGGACATGATCTCGCGCGCTGGGAAGGGCACTGGTTTCGGAGGTACAGCAATAGTACGGCAATAGACTATAGTAGTGATAGACTGCGCGATGGCCCGTTTGATTGTTAACACTGCTTTTCACATCTGCAACTGTGTACTTTGTATGGAGTTAGTTGACAGTTGCTCGTTGACGGCACGGTGGTTAGGAATAACCGAAACCTGCCTTCTGACGGTTACATGTTGGTATGAGTACTGCATGTTGGGCAAGCCGGGAAGTGGCTTTCCGCTTGGAACATCTGATCAGAGCTTGGGAGCGGACGCCGAGCACGCTCCAGTTTCAGGGATGCGGAAAGCGTTACATGATAACGACTTCCCCAAATCGTCTTCGATAGTCGCGACTATTGTATAGCTGACTTGCCGAGAGTCTCTTCGAAGACCTGCTCGCCGAGTATAAGGCGAGTATAAGGCCTTATACTCGGTTCATGCCATATACACACATACACACATACATACATACATACATACATACATACATACATACACACATACGCTGGTGGATTGGAACCCCTTGTGCGCCCCTCTGCTCCCGCGTCTGCTCCGTCGTCATTGGCCCAGATGGATTATGCTCCCCCCTGGAGTAAAATCATCTCTTGGAGTGATTTCGTTGCACTCACGCCGCGCGCGCGCGCGTTCCCAAGCACTGTTAATCCGTCCGTATTAAGTCATATAGTCTTAACTGGTCTGGGCAGTACTTTCTACTACGGGAGCTGTGGACGCTGTGCGTGTTATTAGTGGACGGCTGGCTGGGAATGCGCAGTGTCAATCTTACGGCATGTCCTGATCGCGGCGCCTCGCCGGAATCGGAACATCGTGTGTGCACGTACATATGTATGTATGTATGTATGTATGTATGTATGTATGTATGTATGTATGTATGTATGTGGCGAGCTGGAGCGAACGAGTGCCTGCAGCCTTCACCGCGCCGGTGCCCTAAATTCGGCTGACGCCTAGCTATGGGGGAAAGCGGGGAAAGTCTCCTTTGCCAGTACGTGGAGTCTGTATGTATATATGTAAGTCCGTCTGGTTATGTGTGTTTGGTGGTTAGCGTGCGTGCACGGAATGTTTTTACTTGTGAGACGCATAGATGCGTTTTGCATCGTGGTTCGTCCAGCGCGCATATCTCTCATCTCCTCTCGTAGACAGACATAGACCGAGACCAAGAGGAAGGATTGCCGGCTAGCAGGCCATGTACGTGCGTACCTATGTATGTATGTGATAGACTGGTTGATATTCAGACAGATAGCCAACTAAGTGGTTGTTTTATGCAACCACCAACACGATTTAGTATATTCGAGTAGCTGACTCTTAACTCCACCCGAGTTTGTTTGCATGTGTCTGCATGGTATGGTGGTGGTTGTGGGGGGAAACGATTGAGTGTGTAACCCGAGCATACCCGTACTACGTACGGGCCTGCACACAGGTGGTGTACACGTACGGGCCGTTGTACGGACCGTTGTACAGCTTGGTTAGCTACGCATCTCAGCGAAAGGACTGGAAAAATAAATTTTATCATACCATTCTTTTATCAGCTCAGTCCGGTTAAGAAAGCTTGGACAGCCAAAATTCTTTCGGATCTGTTGTAATTACCAGGATTCACATGGAAGGAACTGGTTCCGTCTTTTGTGTAGATTAACCCCACTTAAAACTTGTTCGTTTTCTTGATCTTTAGACAGCGGCCCCAGTTACGTAGCTTTCTTGTGACGTGCGCTCATGCATGTGTGGTTGACCGGCCAGGACCTGCCACACGATCGGGGTGCCTGATTCGGAAACTAAGATCGCAACAACAGCAACAGTAGCAGCAGCACATACAAGTGCTCGCTATTTAAGGGCACCAGCATATTCAGCGATCACAACCGCAGCAGCAGCAGCAGCAGGTGGCTGCAAAGCAGCCAGATAGGAAGGCTAGAGGCAAAACAGCAGAACTAGGCGTGATTCGGTTGCACCCGGGCGAACGTGACGGTCAGCACAAGCACGTGTAAGCCAGCATCGATCCGAGGGGAGTACAGAGACCCGCTAAATGAGACATCCGCCGTGCTAATACACGGATAGCCCTGCCTGTGCCGGTGGTGCCTAGACACGTGCTGTAATAAGCTACATTTACCTTAGGATATAAAAAAACTATTAAAGCTTAATTGGA